ATATTTAAAATAAATGAAAATCTGTCCAAATATAGCCTTAACCTAAAAATATCTCAAAAATAAGGGAATCACAAATATAAAGGGTTAAGTATGAGTTAAAAAGGAAATGGAAAGTGTTTACAGTATTAATCTATAATAATGAGTAACTTTCAGTTAATCAAAGACCCACTCCTGGTTTTCTAGATGAGAAAACAAATATATTATGTATTTTTTAAGAAAGTGGTTTTAGACACACTATCTCTTGGAGGGCGTATTCCCCTGTTTTTGGTGCACTTATTCTGCATTATCACCTAAACCATGATATATGTTCAAGTGGCAATTCTTCTGGATCTTCCCAGACCAAAATAAAACATTACCAATTAAACGCTGGTGAGACAACAAAATTGCTTTTCATATTCATAAGTTTGGTCCCTCTACGGTGCTATTACCAGTGACTTTTGAATTGTTATACCTGGGTTGACATCTGGGTTAATAATAATCATCATCATTATTATTATTTGTTAAATTATTATTTAATAATTGCTTCAGAAATGACAAGTGCTTCAGCATTCCTTGCTCTGTTCTGAGTCAAGAGGCAGCTCCTCTGTGTCTGTGTTTTTGCTGTAAAGAGATCTGTCACCTATTTTGGGCAGCCGCCTTGTCATCTCACACATACACACACACACACACACACACACACACACAGAAACAAATGGTCTCCCCACACTTCATTCATGTCAGAACTCAACAGCTTGAGTAGCACAAATATTCTGCAGTCACTCATGAAAAGAAATTTTTAATAATAAATATCTAACAATTAATGGGCTGGTAGCTGCAATTGTCTTCGGGGCATAATATCTAATTTCCTTGCAATGTTTCATATCCTTACTTTTCACGCTGCAACAGTCTATCATTAAAACCAAATGCAGGTTTCTATCACTTTTATTTATTTTTCAAATCAACTTATAAATCAGTGCCAGGCCTTGTTACAGATGAGTTCCAATAAATTATCAGCTGTGGACAAATTCTGAATGTTAAACACTTCCTTTCTCTTCCTCCCGCCCTGGGTCCTTGTCTGTCTCTTTCTCTCTATTGTTTTTCTCTCTTCTCTGCAGCCCTCCAGGCCTACATACCTCACTGGCTGTGCTTCGGGTACAAGTCGCCCAGAGAGCCCTTAGTACTTAATTATGTGCTATTTAAATAATGCAAAAAGACATTTATTTTTCGGGGAAAAAATATCAATATAGGAGACAAGAGGAGTTTTACGGTCCTTGGGAAATTTACCTTTCTGAATTCCAAAAGTGAAAGCATTCTTGTTAGAGGCTTTTTTACATCCTCCCAGCAGCCAGAGAAAGAACACCTGGGTCTATCTTTCTCATTCATCAATCTGCAAAGCAGCCTACCTCCTTCTTCCAAACTGCCTCGTCCCCTCCAACAAGCCCTTTTGCACACCTTGGCCGGCTCCTGCTAAGTCTCCCTGGAAGGGTCTGTGGCCACAGTGTCTGGGCTTCTGCTCCCACTGATGTGAGCATACAGGAACACGCGGAACATACAGGAGACACGAGACACCCTTCTGTAAGACCAAGGAACAAAGATTCTAAAGAGACACGGTCTGTTAACGGTAACTCACAACTCTACTGCTTACTTAAAATCATACACACATTCACAAAGTTTATCTGAAATATCTTAGCTAGTGTCTTAGCTAGAAAGTAAAGTGTTTTAAGATCTTTAAAATAGCAGGGCCCTTTCATGAAGGCCATTTTTAAAGTTGTCTATCTTGTTGCATTGTCAGCAGATCATATGATGCATTTTACTTTATTACCTATGTTGGCCTCAGTTCTGACTACTGATCCATTGTACAGCAGGTGAGACTCAGTAGAGGCTACTCCAGGTAGTTCATTTGGCAAACTCAGAAAAGCTCTCCCAGATGGCATCTGTAAAATGTGAAGGTCCAGGTTTCTGGAATGGACTTCTCATGCTCTGTTTTTCAAGTATTAGCAAAGTCTTCCTAATGGAGGTCTACAGCAGCCAGCACATGGGGACCATTTGCCACGCTGGGGTCTGGAGTCTAATTCTGGCAGGCTGGGGACAGGTCCTCAATAGAATCCTGGAAGGCAACGCCCATGTGAAGTGATGTGAGCAGCTGGGCAGGATGCTCTCTGCCTTTTCTCCCTGGGACTGGAAATTTCCACCATGAGAAGCATGTGTTTGAGTGAAAGCACTGCCTTTGGAGGGGTCCCTGGGAGGGGCCACACCTGACACATGGGGCCTCTTCCTTCATGCGTACAGAATCCTACCCATACCTGAAATGGTTTGTATTTCATTTTTTTGTCCTACTAGTGTGTATAGGCTTTGAAGGCAGAGAATATGCTTATTGATTTCTGTTTTCTCCACAGCACCTTAGTACTGTGCCTGGGTGTTTTGGGTGTTCAATATTGGATGGGTATGTTTGATGGAGGAGTGATGCAAAAAGTGTGGAGGTTGTGCTTATTTCAGAAAATCTAGTCGAGTTTGTAAGTAAGAAGTACTAGACATCTTGGAGGAAGGTGAGAGGCACCCAAGTCAGATACTGTCACTTCATCATTTTGACCCTGGCTAGCCTTTCACTTGACATGTATTCAAAACATTCATTAAACACACATCTGCCAGGCATTATGCCTGGTATGAAGATAAATAAAACAAAATATTTTCATGTAGATTAGAGCCCAAAGTGAGAGACAGGTGAGTAGTCAAAAGCAACCTGATGTAAGCTGTGCTGTAGGTGTGTGCATGGTGACACTAGAGTGAAGACAGGGGAAGACTAGCAGAGAGAGGCAGCGACTCAGCAAGGCGCTGGAACCTGACTTAAGTCTTAAGGAACAACTGGAGCTCGAGTGACAGGCAACTCAGGGGAAATCTCTCTCTCTCTCTCTCTCTCCCCGCGCCTCTCTCTCCCTTCTCGTCTCTCCTCTCTTCTCCTCTCTCTGTCTCTCTCTCTCTCTCACACACACACACACATAAACACACATACACACACCCGCACACACTGCATGTCCAGCCCATGTCTATCTCCTGAGCCTCACCCGGGTATTTAACTGCCCACTGGGCACCTCCTTCTGCAGGTCTCATAGGCACCTCAAGATTAACTTAGCCACAATTGAGTACACAGTTTTTTCCCCAAGTCAATCTCTCTCCTCCTATTCACCTTCTTCATGAATGGAACCCATATCCACCAGTTGCCCAAGCCATAAATCTGGAGTCATCCTTAGCTGTTCTCTCTGCCTCCCTCCTCCAACACCAAATCTATTGTCAATTTCTACAAATTCTACTTCCCTAGATGTTTTCAGATCTATCCATTTTCTTGATCTAAAGGTGATCACTTTTACCTGGATTATTGAGGCTGCTCATAATGAATCTCCCTGAATGTACTCTTGACTATTCCCACCTTCAGGTTGGTTTCCATATTGGGGAGGGGAAAATGCTTTCTCTGATCTTGGGCAGAGTCCTCAGGTTTTTGCACAGTCCACGGGGCCTGCATGACAAGACTTGTGCTTCTCTGCCAGCCCTGACCCCATGAACCAGCCCTACTGAACTGTTTGGTTCCTTGACCCCATGGGCTCTTTCTTACTTACAAGCCTTGTGTAAGCTTTTCTCTCTGCCTGGAACTTCCCTATCTCCCCTCCCTCTCCCTCCCTACCCCAGCCTTCCTAGCTCCTAATTAGCCTCCTGGTCTTAGCATAGACTTCACTCTCACCATGAAGCCATCCTTATTCTCCAGTTGCAGTTGGGGATCCTCCTAGGGCTTTTTTGGTGCCCATATTTCTCTATTGTAACACTCAATATGAAGTTTTATTAACAGATTCATTATTGTCTCAATTTCCCACTAGACCATGAATCCCATGAGTTTTGTTCATTGTTGAATTCCCAGTGCTTGCTACATATTTTCTTAATCCATACTACTGATGCTCCAAAAAGAGAAGGAAGGGAAGGAGGGAAAAATGAGAAAATAAGTTGCTTTGAGTGAATAATCATGGAAGAAATGTGACTTGTTAGACATTGAATAGGACATTGGGCTTTAGAGTAGGAGCTATACATAATAATAATCAGAAAAACAACAATAACAACAACAAATTAGATTGAGAACTATGTGCTGAGCATCACACCAAGCACCTTTATAACTGTAGCCCCATGATATAGGTATTATCATGATCCCCTACTTTATAGCTGAAATGCCTGAATATTGGAAGAATCACAAATGCTGTAGCTAGTTCTTGAACCCCAGGACTTTCTATCCACAAAAGGACATAGCTTGGCCACTTGGCAGTGATGCCTTTGGTATATAGAGTGCAGACTTTGCTGACAGACAAACCTGGGTTTGTGTCTTGGCTTCACCATGGCTGTGGGGTTTGGAGCAAGTTGCTAAACTCCTCTAAGACCCAGGGGATAATTTCTCTCATCCCCATTTTACAGGGTTCCCCCAGAGCTCCCTATAAAAAGGAGAACATTTTCAGATGCATTTTGAGGATTGATGAATGTCATGTTTCCAAAGCCCTAGCATGGTGCCCGATACATTGGAGGTAGGCAACGTGTAGTAACTATTTCTAGGATAATTTGACAAGTGGATAGGTGCGGGGCAAGAGTAGTATTTGAAGCAGGCCTGAGAGAAGATTAGCTACTTCTCCCCGCGGAGCCAAGTCCCTAAGATAGGGTTGCCACAGAGGATAAGGAAATTGATAGGCAACAGAGAGAAATAAAATAATACACAGAGACTAAGCTATAGTTTATAGTTTTATATATATATAAAGACCAGATATAACACAGAGAGAAGCACCTAGGGGACTGGCATATCTCCAACAACACCAGCAATATGGTTAGATTCATACAGGTTTTTATAATCACAGACATCAATTACCAGTTGTCAGGGTAACATATTTGCATATCAGGGAATGCAGTTGCTAGGAGATACGGGTAGTTGGTTAGGGTCAAAAGTCCTCTCAAGGGGCTTCTAATCTATCTAGGTGAACAAACAGGTACAAAGTCTTTCAGCGGCTAACTTCTAAAGAAGTAGTTGTCAATTAACAAAGGTAAAACGAAAAAGGTATAGTGACTCTATATTTCATTGATTAGTTGTGGTGGACTTAAAGTAGACAGACAGGAGAGACCAGGAAGCCCATCTCTATAAAACAGGTTGTTTATAAACACTGGGGCGCATCTCTGGGCAAAGTGCGCTCATTGTCTCCGGCTCCCATCCTGTGGGCCATATTTGCCTTGTCTTGTCTTTCAAGACACAGCGAAGCTCACAGAAAACATCTCTACCGGAGATTTGAGAGCTCTCCCATGATATCAGCCTCTAATAAGTGAACCATTGAGTCCACACATTTCTTCAGGGCAAAACCCTGCAAACTCCTGTTTCTATCTTTAATATAGTAATATCAGGTTATACAATAAAATAATGGTCTTATGAGCTACATCTCATTAATTCCTCAATCATATTTTCCCAACAGATAGGATTTGATTACACAGTGGGCAAGGGAGGGATTTTATGCTGAGGATGCATGATGCACTAAGATAATGGAGCTACATCTTGTGCAGAGAAAGGATGGATACCTGGATATCTGCCCCACTAGACCAGAGCTTAGAGAAGCTTGCAAGAAGTCATGATGCAGAAAGAGTGGACAGCAAAGGGAAGTGAGACTGAGAATTTGAAAGAGAAGCAGAAAAAAGACCAGGTTCATGGGATGTCTAGAAACCAAGAGAGAAGAGTAATGTCTTAGTCCATTTGGCTGCTGTAACAAAAATACTATGGTCTAGGTGGCTTCAACAACAAACATTTATTTTTCACAGCTCTGAAGTCCAAGATCAAGGTGCCAGCAAATTCAGTGTCTGGTGAGGGCTCTGTTCCTGGTTCACAGGGGGAGCCCTCTCACTGTGTCCCCACATGGAGGAAGGGGCAAGGCAGCTCTCTGGGACCTCATCATATGAATTTTGGATGGATACATTCAGCCTAAACAAGCTGGCTAAGAAACCCGACCATCAGCAGAATCAAGCGCTAGAAGGAGGTAAATGAAAATGAAGACAGAGGAGATAACATCCAATTCAAAAGTGAGGAAGCCAGTGGTGAGCTTCCAGAGCCATTTCAAATTGGAGAGACAGAAGCGTGCTGGGGTGCCGTGGGGTCAGGAAGGCACTGGAAGAAGCCAGCAGACACAGCAATGGGTCAGATCACCAGCATTTAACAATTAAAACAAAGGAAGAATACACTTAAGTACCTGAACTAATTTCGAGAAAAATCAGTTGGTTGCTTGGATCCAACTCAGCTGCAACAGCTGACTGCAGGAGCCAGCGAGCAGTGCCTTTCCACCGGCCTTCGTGAGTGTGGCTGGTGTGCTCAGCTGGTGCTTGCGTGCAATTCCAGGCTCGCAGCACGGGCAGCAGGGAATTCACATCACCTGCGCAGGCCCTTCCAGGAGCCACAGGAAGAGCAGCTGCCTGAGTTTCCCCGTTACTATCCTGACCTACTAATTTTAATTGAGTACACTCACATGATTAATGTCTACGGTGAAGACCGAGAGCCACGAACCCAGCGTGCAGTGCCTCTTGGAGAGAGAGGTTGCGTGTGTTCATCCTAGTCCCAGAGACAGAAGGCAATTGTGTTTTATTAACTAACCCACTAGCAACCTCTACAAATAGAACCAGGAAGAAAAAAAATATATTTTTAAAGTTCCACTAGCAAAGATATCTTGTGGGTTTATTTCCCTCAAGTTGATGACTTCCTTAATAGGGCAGAGAAGCCAAAAATGCCCAATTGCAGTTTAAAAAGAGGATGTATTGATTGAACTTTCCACCATGGACCAGTTCTCCACGATGCGTGCAGGATGCCCTGCAGGGTCGCAGGGCTTTGCTACTTGGAGACTCCTGCCATGCTGGAAACGGGCTGTCACAGCTGGACCTGGCAGATCTGCTTGGCTGGCGCGTCTGTGCCCGCCGCACCTGGTGGAGTGATGAGCCGCGGGCCGCGCTAGCCCAGGGTGACGCTGGCTGTGTTCAGGGAGGTGCACCTCCCATTTCTCAGCAGTCTGCATTTACCTCCCTTACTAAAAACGTGGCTTTTCCACATTTTTGCCATTTTGGTGGTTGAGTAAACTTCATCTTGCTTTGAGTTTGCAAAAACAGACTGCAAACCTGACATCTCTGACTAACCTGACATCCTGGGGCCAAGGACTGTGACGCTGGAACTAAGGCTACGTGCTGGTCACTTCAATTTGCTAAGATAGACATGCCCTCATTGGGGAAATTATGAGGAGCTATGTGTGCTCTTTAGTGGGCTAGCTTTAGTGGTAGGAAAGAAAGTTATTTACTCTGAAATGGCTCTCAAACTTTCTGTTACATACTTAAAGTTCAATGTCAGAAGATCTCACATCTGGCTTCAAATGCATAGCCTTTACTCAGGAAAGCAGATAAATAAATAAACTCTAAAACTCTCCAAGTTGCTCCAGCTCACTTCTGATGAAAGCAGAGCAGCAGTAGAGAGAAGGAGAGTGTTATGAATTCTGGAGGGAAGGGGTTAGGCCCCAGGGGAGGGGGAGCAAATTACCCAAATAAATACAGACCGAACAGCTCATTACTGCTGTTTGCTTTTTCTAGGAGGCATTGTTAAGAGAATTTTAAAGTTAATGTTCATAATCAGTTCCCAGGGTTTAATTTGAACATCAGCAACATTCTTTAACACTTTAACCATTTATTGAACACCTACTATGTGCCACGTTGCGACAGATAACAGTCTCCGTTTTTACGGGGCAGATTATCAATCCTATATGTCAGGCAATGGGAGCCTTCAGTCTAATGCAGGAGGCTGACAACAAACTCATAATTATGTAAATGATGATTGCATTTGTGTTTAACGTTATGAAGGGAAACTACAGGGGACAACAGAACTGCGACACAGGGGGACTCTACCTGTCCTGCAGGTCTGATAAGGCTGACAAAGGATCATGGACTCTGAGCCAATTCTCAGCAAGTAAAAAGGAGGACAATGGTTCAAGGTAACGTAGGCAGGTCACACGTGGTCTTCTGGGCCATAAAAATAGCTTTAGACGTTGGAGGGAAGGGAAGAGGAAGCAGAAGAGTATTTAACCTTTGTTTCTACAAGAATACTCTGGTTACCAAGTGGAGAGTGGAGTGGAGGGTGGGTTACACACAATTCATGGAGGTGCGTTAGGGTTTCTCGGTAGTTAGTCCACAGGGGAGACAGTGGCGGCCATGGAGATCGACAGAAGCGGACAAGTTTGAAAAATATTTTGGCATTTTCATGACAATATGTGGTGATGGACAGGCAAAGGAAGATAAAGAAGAGTGTAGAGAATGACATCCTGAGTTCTGGAATGAGCAGCTGAGTGGATGGTGATGTCATTCGCAAAACATGCTTAGGGGAGAGGTCTTGAGCTCTGTTCTGGACGTGGTGAATTTTCAGAGGGTGTAGGTGAGGATGCTGAGTAGACAGCTGGACATGCAAGTCTGGAGCTCACCAGAGGAGTCCGGGCTGAAGACACACTGAGCCCTTAGCGTGTAGGTGGTGACTGAACTCAGTGTGATTGCGCAAGAAGAGAGGTGGAGAGAGAAGAACGTGGGGCAAGGAAGGGAGCCCCAGAACTCCACATATGGAGGGCAGGTAGGGGAAGAGGTGCTGACAACAGAACCGAGAAGGATCGGCGGTGGAGAAACATGGGGAGAGCCAGGCTCAGCCAAACAAGGGGAAATGATTCAGGAAAGCGGACGTGCCCAAATCCAGCACAGCCTGCTGGAAAGTCAAGTAAAATGAAGATGAGAGTTTTCATCTGGATTTTGTGACTGGAGAACATTGAGAACACTAAGGAGGACAATTTCTGTGGAGTAGAAACAAAAAATGTAAACAAATTTTTTAAAGTTTATTATGAAATGTTCAAACCTACAAAAGTTGGAAAAAATAGTATAAGGATCCCTAATCTACCCGGAACCCAGATTCAGTCATTAACAACATTCTGCTGTCCTTGCTTTATCTCTACTCTTGTTGCTGTTGGCTCCTCTTGTTGCTGAAGTCTTTTAAAGCAAATCCAGGACCTGTCTTGCTTGTCACCTCTTCTGTGCGCCTCTAGGGGCCATCCATAGCCACAGTGCCACAGTCACACCAACAAAAGGAATAGCAAGCCCTTGGAACTCTCCAATGCTAAGGTCATGTGCAAAGTCCCCGGATTATATAGACTCTTTCTATTCAGGTGTGATCCAGAGATCAGCCGCAAGGGCATCACCTGGGAACTTGTCAGAAATGCGGACTCTCAGGCCCCACTCCAGACCGCTGGGTTAGAATCTGCATTGTCACCATGTCCTCAGGTGATTCACATGCCGTTAAATTCTTATGTATGTGTACAGTGAAAAGGCACCTTCCCCACTCTTGTCCTATTTGCAAATTCCCAGTCCTACACACACACACACACACACACACTACTATTACTAATTTTTTGTTTTTCTTTCCAAAGTTCATTTTTGCATACATAAGCAAATATAAAGATATGCACATTTTCCGTATTTATTCACAAAGGTGGCTTATTATTACACACTGTTACGAATCTTGCATTTTAATTAACTAAAATTATTTTTTAAAAATTAAAAGCTTGGGCCGGGCGCGGTGGCTCACGCCTGTAATCCTAGCTCTCTGGGAGGCCGAGGCGGGCGGATTGCTCGAGGTCGGGAGTTTGAAACCAGCCTGAGCAAGAGCGAGACCCCGTCTCTACCATAAATAGAAAGAAACTAATTGGCCAACTAATATATATAGAAAAAAGTAGCCGGGCATGGTGGTGCATGCCTGTAGTCCCAGCTACTTGGGAGGCTGAGGCAGAAGGATCACTTGAGCCCAGGAGTTTGAGGTTGCTGTGAGCTAGGCTGACGCCATGGCACTCACTCTAGCCTGGGCAACAAATCGAGACTCTGTCTCAAAAAAAAAAAAAAAAAAAAAATTAAAAGCTTGGTTTTTCTTGTTTAAAGATGGTTTACTACAAACATAGTGCATTTCACTATTCCACAGATCACTCTTTCTTTTCCTCATTCTTCACATCTTTGCCAGCATTGGTGACTAGTTGCTGTGAGGCATTTGCACTTCTTTCACCTTAATTATCCACATCAGACAATTTGCAAGGTGGCATAGTCCATGACTTTCTTTCAATATGAAATCAGAAAAGCCAAACCGGAACTGAGCCTATATACTCATTGGAAACTTGCTAGAGCTCAAAAAGACTTTTAAAGAACAATTGCAATCAAAAGAATTCTCTCTCTGTGTATTGCAGGTCTACACAGAAGGAAAGTTGGAGATCACTTTATTTTACTCCATGTATATGATTATCATACCGCGTGGATTTTCCAACCTCTGCACGTTTCCCCATGCCATTTCCACTGCTACCATTACTATTTTTGAAGGCCTGCATCTATTAAAATTCTCCCCAGATGTAAAAACTCAATTCTGCCTTTTCCAGGAAGCCTTTCCTCACCACCTCAACCCAAAGAACTTCCTCTATCTACTGAAACCCTGTTGTTTCCGTTGAGTGCCACCTATCTGACATTTCACACTTTCTGCCTGACAGTTGTCAATAGGAAGAGAAAGTAAATTCTCGTTACTTCACTGTGAGCTTCTTGAGGTCAGACACTGTGTCTTACAAATCTTTACATCCACATCAGCACATTGTATACTACTGAATACTGCATAATTTAGGTTCTTGATAAATATTTGTTAAGTGGATGAATAAAAATGTATAAAGCACCTATGTGTATAGTCCTGTGCTAAGATCTATATTATCTACTTCTCTTTTTCTCTATCCTATGCCCCAAATTTCTTGTAGCCCTCTGCAATCAGAATATATCAGTCTACCATGGGAGCGGAGCAGCGCTTTTACATAAATTTCTACATTGTTAGATTGGTAACCAAATTGCATATATAGAAAAAATTTTTTCCTGTGTGTTAAAATATTTTAAAGATTATTATTTTATTTTATCTCTAATATCTCTGAGACACAGAGACTTTTAAAATTACACATTACCTCCAGATTTGAAATGGCCATGATGAACATTTCATAGAGAACCCAGAAATGTTACAGAAATATGGAACGTGCAAATAGCTCACCCCTAAAGTTTTTCCAATCTAAGGTTCAATCATTCCCTTTAATATGATTGAACCAGACTTGGCATAATCTGACAAATTTAAAAGTCAGATATTACCCACAGTTGAGAAAATTGATACAAATATATACAACATTAGATTCAACACCATTATATGGTTACTAGATGTGATGAATAAATATGTATAAATATAAACATAAAATAAAGGCAAACAGAAAGAACTTTAACAACAACTTTATTTAGGCAGTGTCTATATAGCATAGATAATTTGTGTTACATATTCCTAGATATACCTTCAAAATGAGGACTGAAGATGATAAGACACTGTACAATTAAAATAGATGTACAATATATCTCAGGACTGTGCTAGACCGATTTTTTTTCACAATAAAATCTTATGATTTCAGTTTTCTGTCTACAGAGGGAAAACAAACAAACATACATGGATGCCATCACACACCTCAGCAGGAACAATGAACTTCTCGATTATCTCACCCCTCCCCCTAAAAAGCAATTTAATGCACCACTGGAGGTTGCCTATTAATTGGACTAGAAATAAAGTAGCCTGCGAGGGTAGGCCAGGGAAAATACAGCTCCTGTGAGTGTGTATAGATTTATATACACACACACACACATAAATATATATAAATATAGATGTGTACACATCTGTGTATATAATATTTCACCCACAAAGTAAACAAGCAAAACTAGTACGTCTAATTACAGGGCTATTTCATAAACTGTAAATGCTAACACGGGAGAGGTAAATCATAGCAATTTAATTAATAAAACAGTTTAGACACTTAAACCCATATGTGCACCCCTAGGGGCACTACATCAATAATAGAAGCTTGCAGGCATATTTTAGAAATTTTATGCAATCATTTGCAGTTCTTGTAGTCAATAATTATTACAAACTGCATTAACTCTTCTCTTGCCATACCTGAGGAGTGAATTTTAATTTGTTAAATGTTCTTTACACTTTAGATGGGTTGTTAGGAGTGGAGGAGCACAGAGTTTCTTTCCCTGAAGTGGCAGGACTGAAGCAGGTGAGAGAGCCCCATCCAACCAGACAGCAAAACGTGGCAAGTGAGTACCTGGGAGGGCAGGAGAACATTCTCCTCGTCCTTTCACTGAGTGGGAGCTGGAGAAGATGACTAATGTCAGAGAATGGAAGCTCAGCTTTGAATTTGTGCATTTTTAGATCCTCTTTCTCTTTTGAATTTTTTAAATTATGTTGGCAGAACCTTCATACATTTCTGGCAGAAATGTGAAATGGTGTAGTCACGATTTGGAAAACAGTTTAGCAGTTTCTTTAAAAAGTTAAATATAAATTTACTATATAACCAACACTTCCAGTCCTACACATCTACTCAAGAGAAATGAAAACAGACGTCCACACAAAAGCTTATACATGAATGTTCATGGTGACATTATTTCTAACAGCCAAAAAGTAGATACAACCAAATGTCCACCAATTGTTGAATGGATAAATAAACTGTGGTTTATCCATAGAATGGATATCTATACTCAGATCTGCCATTACCAAAGGCTCAATCTCTTCACTTTTGTTCTTCCCATTAGAGAGGAAATAATCACTACCATTTAGTGGGTGCTTACTAATTGCCATGCATGCTACATTGTACTAACTTCTTAATCATTATGATAATCCTTATGTGGTATTTTCATATCCCCACTGACATGAGTCAGTTGAGGCAAAGAAAAACTGAATCATGTGCCCAAGTTATGCAGAAAGTGGTGACGTTGGGATTTGGACACAGGACTTCAAGCTGGGATTTGAACAGTCGGTTCCAGGCTGCACTTTGACCTGTCACCATCACTGGTCCCTCTACAACAGAGGCTGAATTCTCTCTTCTGGAATGTGAGACTGGTTCTCGTCTATTCGTGGGCAGCTTTGAAGGAAGCAAGTGTAGACTGAACAAGCCTTGCTCACGAGATGGTGTGGGAGCACCAGGCCAGTGGGCAGAGCCACTCTGCAGATGAAGGGTGGGTGACGCTGACCTCTGTATTCACAGGCCTCTGTGTTGTTTGACCTGGTATAATTGGCACATATTATTTTATAATTAAAGAAATAAACTAGAAAAGTATTTTTTTTCTCACAAAAATAAGTAAATAACAAAGCCATAATTTTTCTGGGTATGGTTGTTTCTAAATTTACCCAGTTGACCATCTTCAGCAAGAAAAAATGAACAACTGCTTGAATCACGCAGCCTATCATTCCCAGAGGTTTTCAAAACTTACAAGAAATCAGGACATGAATGAAGGGACTTAATAGACATGGAAAATCCTCTCTACACTGGGAGCCCTGCACTGCCACAGCATGTGGCCATTCTCTTTAACAGGCAGCTCATTGCTGCACAACCATCTATAAAGAGTTGTGCTTCCTGGCTGCTAGGGTGTGCTGCGGTCTGGATGCTTGTCCCTTTCAAACATCATGTTGAAATTTGATCCCCAATGTCGGAAACGAGGCCTAGTGGGAAGTGTTTGGGTTATGGAGGTGGATCCTGTATGAATAGATCAATGCCCTTTCTTGGAGGTGAGTGAGCTCTCATTCTATGAGTTTCCAAGAGAGCTGGTTGTTTTAAAAAAGCCTGGCAGCTCCCACCTCTCTCTCTTGCTTCCTCTCACCATGTGATCTCTGCACATGCCAGCCCCCTTCACCTCCCACCACGAGTGGCAGAAGCCTGAGACCTTCACCAGAAGCAGATGCTAGCGCCTTGCTTCCTGTACAGTCTGCAGAATCATGAGCCAAATAAATCTCTCTTCTTTATGAAATACCCACTCAGGTATTCCTTTATAGCAACACAAAACAGACTAAGATAGGAGACAGGAGATTTCTTTAAATATTAGGGAGGGTCTTCAGGAAATACTTGCAAATATATATATTCTGTATATATAAGACTCAGTTTAAAAACACATTACAAATGTATTCCAAATATTTATTTATTACTTAAATGGAGCATATTTTAATCTAAGAGCAATAACATAAAATGGTAGTTTGTTGTCCACGATGGCTATATAGACTGAAATAGAGAAGAAATATATTGACCATAAAAAATGGTGCAGAAAATACTATTTCAATGCCAGTAATAAAAGAAAAAATAGAAAAAAAGTTTAAATCAATACATATTCTTTAAATTAAAGACTTATAGTTAAGAAACTTGTCATGGAATGTCCTCTTTGTTATCACACACCCTTACATTCTCTTACATTCTCACACGTACTGAATTTTCTCTTCCCCTCTCAGTCACCTATGGTCCCTTAACCCTTCTGAAGTCCACATTCATCCATCCAGCCATCCATCCTCAATCCATCCATCTATACACATCGTCATTGGTCCTTTCACCCATCCATCCTCCATCTACCCTTCTATGCTCTCCTAACCCAGTTGGCTCCTGCTCCAGTGTGGATCACATAATTAGACTTTTTAGGGTGTCTTCACCAGCTCCATGATTCCTTACCCTACTCTCCTTCTGCTGTGCCCTACACAGTATAGGTACAACACAGGCACTCAATAAATACTTGTTGACTGACTGGCTGACCTCCCATCTTGCCACTTCCTATTGTACATAGTAATAAACCTGTCTTGATTGGATCCAGTAAAATCTCCTGAAGTCCTTAGGAACACGGACACTTGTTCCGGATGACTTGACACTGACTTTCCAATAGGGGTGTAACACGTTTCTACTCAACCTGTCCGCTTTTAAAAAGTACGACTCCCAGGTCCCATCCCAGACCAAGCAATCATTAAACAAGAAATATCTTGAGGCTGGGATCAAGATATCAGTATATGCAAAAACTCCCCAGGGGATCCTCCTCTGTAGCCTGAATCCCATTTCCATATCCCTCATCCTGGATAGTGAGAAGAGCAAGATAGTTTCCTCCTATTTTACTGAGATGATGAAAGAGGTCTGGATTCTTCAAATTCCTGTTTCACTCTACGAAAATATCTTTTTAGAGCAAGGGAAAGTGAACTATCTTTTCTGTAAAGGGCCAGATAGTAAATATTTTAGGCTTTGATGTCAAGAGGCAATGTGACCAACTATGCCAGTAGCTGTTCTCACAGCTAAATATCTTGTAGTTGAAAATGTGAAAAACATTCAGAGCTCATGGACTATGCAAAAGCAGACAGAGCCATGGTTTGCCAATCCGTATTTTAGAGTCACCAATACTCTCCTAATCAACAAACCCAAGGGCCTTTTTTAATGTTTTATGTACTTTGATCTTTTTGCAACCTTTGATACCATTAATAACTCTTTCCCTCTTAAGATTTGACTTTCATGTCATTAAACCTTCTTGCTTATCCCACCTGTATCCTGTTACTTCTGTGTCTCATTCACCATTTCCTGTGTTGTGCATGTGTGTGTGTGTGTGTGTGTGTGTGTGTGTGTGTGTGTGTGTGTGGTGTTTGTCCTAAGCTACCAGCCAAGTTGCTTCTATGGCCCTGTTGTCAATCAAGCTGGAAATATGTTTTTTTAACCAAGTCACAGCTCACCACTGGAGCCTGACAATGCTGGCTTAACTGCTCCCCAGATAAACTGCTCTCATCAAGGTGTGCAGCTCCTGCCAAGTAGAAAGAACAGCACTGCCTCCCTCTGCTGTATGCACTGCAACCTAAGGCCGCCTGGCCCAGTGGTTACTGCTCTGCCTCATTGAAACCCAAGGCCACGCTGTACAACCATAATCGGTGAGAACAGCAGCGGCATCTCACGTTGCCATACTATTCCATGCCGCAAGAGTTGATGTTCTTATCAAGGTCAGTTGAATGAACAAAACTTATTTTCCTTATATGGAAAAACTGACATAAAACATGTACTGAGAATAGTTGTCACTTGCTCAATATATTCAAATCTATATTCAAATGCCATCTCTGCCTCAAACAGTTAGTGGCAGGGCCAGCTGTGCAGGAGAAACTACTCTTCCAGCTGGGAACTGAGCCTCGGAAGGGACTCTAGCCTGATTTTGAAAATACTAAGCATTCTAATGAAGTTGACTTGATTTACATTTTAACAATACCACACAAATGTACTACATGGCACTTTTCCGATAACCACTTCGACATCATTCATTTTGACACCTCCCATTGTACGAAAAGCAGAAGGAGTAAAGCAGCCTTCTGTGATGAGGTGCATGGGGCGGGAGCTGGATTTCATTTTGTTTTCAAGTCAGGTAACCTACTCACACCCTTTTGTGATATGCAGGATTCTCCTGACTGAAATTCCGTGATGTTCCTTCCCCATCTGCAGGAACCGCAGTCCTGAGCTGTATCTGCCCACCTGCCCTCCAGGCCAGCTGTGCAATAATCAACACTTGTCGTCTGACTCTCTGAGCCCTTTGGGGCACCAAGTGTGTCCTACTTCCCCCATGACCTCAGCAACAGTCAGTCTTGGTTAAAGGCAAGGCACTTCCTTGGTTAAAGGCAAGGGAATGACCCAGGCAAGGCTTCATGCCTCTTATCCCTGTGTCCTAGTCAGAAAATGAAGGACCAATTCCATTTCCCTATTGACAATATCCAATAGGTTTATATGTATCTATTGGGATGATCCTAAGTTTTAAAATGCCAAAAGCCAAGTTCAACATCCCCCTGCACACCACAGTCAAGGGTCCGCCGCTAAGAGCAGCGAATAGCCCCACTGATCTCTGAAGATCGACTTTGAACTCTCTTCCTTTGACTCGTCCTTTTCCCTCACAGAGCTGGAAATGCAATGTTTGGGCGCTGACTCCTCTGATTGGCTGTAACCCTATGTCAGCATTAGAAGGTACCACGGCCAGGTCACCTGGTTAATCCTCATGCAGTAGTCCATCAATCCCCTCTGTTTTTTCAGAAGTAAATGTCTGTTTGGCTTGTGCTTTGGTAAAGTCAAGCAATGGGAAAGTCACTGCCATGTGACGTATCATTCAAAATTTTGATGTATCATTCAAATTTTCCAGTCTTTATATGGGGAAAAAAAGCCAAAGAATGAGATTTTTCTTTCAATTATTATTTCTTATTTTAAAAAAAGACACACACACACACACACAAAATGAGCCCAGCAGCATGTTGTCATTAAATGAACACTGGAGTCAAG